CGGCGGGGGGGGGTGAGGGCACCCAGATTCATTGTGGGTACCACCAAAAATTCTACAAACCTGCCACCTCTGCCCCAGTGTCCTGGCCAAAATCAAATTTGAGTAATGACATTTTGCATATGTAAACTTTTCAGCTTTCACTCGGAAAGCTATTCTTCATTTCCTAACCTACAATACTGTTGTAAATTACATTTGCATATCTTCTGTACTGCTGTGATAGAGAGTGATCTTTTCATATAGGAAGAATATATCTGTTTAAATGGGTGACCAGGTGTCCCAATTTTATAGGAACAATCCCACAATTAGGGGCTTTGTCTTATATATTACCTTCTACCCTATCCTGATTTTTTTCACACTTGCTATCTGGTCACTCTAGTTCAAAGAGGTCAGACATTGTGTGACTATACTGTCATTTCAGCTACTACCCAATGTGCACTGCTGTTTTTGTGTCTCTTGTCATGCCATAATGATGTCACGTAAAAAAAGACAGCTGCAATTTACTTTTGACCGAATCTCTTATATTTAATCTCATAGCAAATAATCTGACCTACACAGATGCAACAGAACAAAAGCGATTGGGTGTGAAACACTACAGTGTTTGTTATACATGTTTGTTATACATGTTATACACTACAGTGTTTGCTGCATTTCAGTAGTCTACCTCAGTGGTTTTCAGCCTTTCCAAACTACTATACCCCTTTCAGAAGTCTGATGTGTCTTGTCTAGTCTAGGTTTCACCTTCCTTAACTTTTTGCTTACAAGATGACATAAAAATACAGAAGTGTTACAGCACACTATTACTGAAAAATAGCGTATCTTCTCATTTTTACCATATAATTATACAATAAACCAAGTGGAATAATAATATTGTACAGGCAGTCCCTGACTTACGTGTATCCGCATTTACGTCGGATCCGCACTTACGAACGGGGCTTTTCTCGCCCCGGATCTCACGGGCGGCGGGTCGCCACCCATGTCCTCCGGGGCGAGAAAAGCTTCTCCCGGTCTCCCTGGTCTGCTGGGGGGGGTCCAGCAAAGCCGCTGGACCCCCCCAGCAGACCAGGGAGAC